AAAATAAATAAAAAATAAAAAATAATTTCTGAACTCAAGGCCTCATCCTCTCATTCACCTTTCTTGCTGAAAGCTGATGCTATACTACATGAACCATGCCTCTAGCCTGGCTTTCTGATAGTTATTTTGGAGATTGAGTGTCATGAGCTTTTCTGCCTGATCCTCAGGATCTCAGTCTCCTGAGTAGCTAGGATTACAGGCCTGATCCCCAAGACTTGACTTATTATTTTTAAGTCTTGTTTCAGGTCGGTAAATTCTGTACAAGCATGTTCCTGTGACTGCCTGCTACTCACAAAGAAGTCTTATTCCTTCCAGAGTGCTAGATCTGAGTGTGACTGGGAACCGTAAAGTGCCGGAGCTGAGAAATGACCACGCTTCCTCTTACTTCTCAGCAAGAGTAATTGAATAGAGAATATCTTACTAAACGCTGGACTGTGACAGTGTGTTAACACTCTGACTATTTCCTAACAGCAGGGCAATTATTTGCTGCGTGAGATTCTTATAAATCCCCTGGCACAAGTATGTCCTGATAATTATGATGAACTGCCCTGGTCAGTGTTGATTCAGCAGTCCCTACTCTTACAAATATTTCATTCACAGCTCTCTGGCCCACTTTTACTTTTCTAGTTATTAGAGGCCTTGACTATCCTTCCTACTTGGAAATCACACTTGCTTTAACCTTAGGCATATTTTGGACAGGCATCTTTTAGAACTGTGGGTTACACATTTTGAATCAGGGGGAATAAAACTAGTTTTAAATTTGGTTTCCTTTGCTGGCAATTTGTAAATCTTGTTTGCTGTGTAACTGTTGTTTCAAAAGGAAGACTTGAATTCTCTGACCTGCCCTGTATACCTAACTGGTTTTTATTCCTTGAATAAACATACTTTCTTTTTTAAAAAATTATTGTGAAAATACCATACAGAGGGGTTACAATTACATGGGCAAGATAGTGAGTACACTTCCTATCAAGCATTGTTGCCTCCTCCTTTGTTTCCCCATACCATCCCTTCCCCTCTCCACCCCCACCCCCACACCCCCCTAAAACCCCCTACCCCCCACCCCACCATAGTTGTAAAGTTCGTTTTTCGACATAATGTCTTGTACATCTCATTGTTGTAATGGGTCCACCTGTATCCCTATTTAAACTGTTTGCTTTTTCCCTTCTCCTCCACAAATTATATCAACATCAAATACAGTGAAAGCAGGGCTTATACCCTGGGGGAGGGACATACAAAGCAACAAAGAAATCATCTTATAAATATGTTGGAAACAATCGCAAGAAAGAAAAAAAAGCATACTTTCAAAGTAAGAGACCTCACTATATCTCATATGCCAAAATATAAAATTAAAACATCAGAAATTATAATTTGGCAATTATAGGTATACACAATCCAGTTATATATTGTTCTTATTTTATAGAAATATGTTTTTAAAACCAAACTCGATAACAGAGAAAAGAAAAAAAATCAGACTATAACATCCCCCCCAGGCAATTATAAAATCAAGAGCAATGTTTCATTGGATAATGCTCCCCGCCCAATATCAAAAAAGGTAAAAGAGTAGATTCTTCAGATATGAGTAGTGTATTCATATGCTTTCAAATCAGTTGCAATTTTAAGTACTTTTTCATACAAGAACAAGAATAAAAACTGAGAAGAGTCCACGGATAGATTGTTAGAAAGATGGAATAGTTCAAAATATTAATGTAAAGCTAAGGGTGACTGGGTAACAAATGGCACATTTGCTCATTGCTCAACCTGACATAATTAATATTCTAGGTCATGCTTAAGTTCCCATGATGGAAGGTCTGAAAGGGGGAATTCAAGAAAAATATATATCTATTATATAACTCATTGCCTTTTTCCCCCTTTTGACGAGTCAGAATCATAGCCTTAAAAAAAAAAAAACTCGGGCTTTCACACCTCATTTGCCGTCTTCACCACTGGGCCACCAGTCAGCATCGGGGTCGGCAGCAGGGAGGTCAGTAGAAGCTATTAGCAGAGTCCTCTCCTGAGATTTCTTGGGTCTTATTGAGTTGAATGTTAGCATGACAGTACTGCAAATAACTCAGTTGTAGGCTTTTTCTTTCTTCTTTTTTTTTTAAACAGTTAGCACAGATTTCCCCATAGTGTTGGTCACTCTAGAAAATTATTGCTGAAAATGAAGTCCCCAAAGCTAGCTTGGCAGTAGCCCTTCCAAGTTGTGAAAAATGTGAAAAGTGGAAAATATGTCATAGTCCCGTAGGGTTAACTCTGCCTTTGGTGGCTCATATTTTTAAAAATAAACCACAAATTATTATTGTTAAGTGGCTTACGAATTATGGAAGGTGGCTATTGAGACAGTATTAAGGTGGCTTTATTAAAGAAATGCTCATTTAATGAATACTGTAGCAACATAAATGACAGGGTATTTGCTTGATATAGGTAGTGTTTTTATTGATGTACGTTAGCAAATGCATTAAATTAATTTCTAAAATACTGACACCTTGAAGATTCTTAAGTGATACATTTGAAATTCAATTAAAATATATATTCTATCTCTATTTGATTTAAATTGCAAAGAGAATACACATGAGGAGGTTCCTATATAGGTTTCAAAATATAATTTAAGAAAGCTATCATGTCTACTGATCTATTTGCATTTCCCATCTAGCCTATGTATACACGTGCACACAAATGTGGATGGAGATCAAGATTCCTAATGGGGTAAAGTTAATATGGCTGGTAGCAGTTGTTCAGGTAGATAGATATTTTAAGAGATAAATTATAATCTAGTTAAATTATACATGTTTTGCCACTTTAACCTAGGTGTTGAAATTTTAGTAACATACTAAGTGCCTTCAATTAATAAGATCACAGTGACCAACTAATACAATTTCTATATTTTTCATAAACTATGTGATTTAGTAATATGTTGATCAGAATATTCTTTTTAATATAACTTTTTTACATTATAATCAATATGTTCTTATAAAATCATCTTAGAAAGCACCATCCACTTAAACATTACTAACCACTGAAAGTTACTGTGACCGTGTGCATATTTTCTTTGATTAGTATTCAAACTATCTGTCTATATTGTGTATATTTACTGTAGTGAGAGAATCATAGTATGACATTAAAAAACATTAAAAAACTGCCTTTTACCAATTTAATGGAGTAGTTTTTCACAAATCAATAATAGAAAAGAGTAAATCAAAGAAGAACCAATTCAAAAATAGTGTAGGCATATTTAACATACTGTATTTTGGTTAACTTTTTAAAAATGTTGGAAGTAAAGCTATGGCTCAAGTAGTTGAGCATCAGCCTGAGCTAAGGGACATCATCATGGCCCTGAGTCCAAATCCCAGTTGTAAACACTTTCTCTCTCTCTCTCTCTCTCTCTCTCACACACACACACACACACACACACACAGGAACAGATATTGAATTGGAGGTAACTCAACTCAAATGGGAATGTGTTAGTCCTAGATCACAGTGTCATTATGACAAAGCAAATCGACACTGATGTGTTAAGAAAGATAAAAGTGAGTAATCTATGAATTCCTTGAAAAGCAGTCAATAAGAAATTGAAATAAATTTTAAATGTTTTTCAATGAGGGAGCTAGAGTAAAATAAATTATTTTATGGGATTTTTAGGTCTAGGTGTCATTCTAATAAGTATTTAGTGTTGACTTACTGGGATTTTACTATGTGCCAAGCATTCTGCTAGGCCTAAGATCACAAAACTACCTGCCTCTGAGTGGCTCTGTACCAAACTGCTTGTGTATGGAAGACAGAAACACAGAAAGGTAAGTATGAAATGAAGCATTAGATGTGGTGGGGATTCCAAGGCTATTAAGGAAGCATTAGAGGTAAAGCTTTGAATCCAGTGTTTGTAGGTGTTTGAGAAATAAGACTTTAACTCTTATTGAAATGTTGGTTGGAAATATAAAATTTTCTTGGATGGCTTTTCAAATACAGTCTTCCTGGTTCATTAAGGTATCTTGGAGCATCCTATTCTTGGAGAATATAACAGCTAGGAATATTTGTGAATAGGATGATGGCATCAAAGAATAACACATCTTAGGGAGAACAGATAGATTTAATAACTAACTACGTTCTTTCTATAGTTCAAGGTGTCTACCGAGGCTACCAAACAAATCACACAATCATTTAAAATATAACTTTTCCCTACAAATATGCATTTGTTTTTAGGATGGATGGATGTGTGTATAAATACGTACATATAGAATATGGTTTTGTGGACATCAAAAGTCAAAATATGATTCTATCCAAGTGTGCTTCTTTGTCAACTCAGATAGCATCACATTTTTATAAAATGGTAATGTCCTAAACCTTGAACTAAGCGTTCATCACACATACATCCATTGGACCTCTGTTGCACAATAGAGCTGTGCCGAGAAAGCTTGACTGATTGATGCAATGTGTGACAGTCACTGGCAGAGCAAACAAATTAACATCACCCTATGGAGCCGTGGCATCTTGTATGCTTGTTACATATAGGGTATGATGTGCAGTGATCAATAAAACACTGTATGTATATGATGCCAGTTTGAGCACTTTGGCACAGGATTTAAAATAGTTGTCATTAGGATGTGTGATAATTAACAATTCAAATCATCAAATTTTTATTAAACTAGCTCTAACCATGCACATTTGACTTTCTGCAAATGAATTAATGATTTACAGATATGGTTAAATAGACATAGTATCTGTGTGTTTCTTAATGAAGATATCAACATGCAATGTGTGGCAAATATTAACTATGTGTCAGTAGTTTCAGATCTCTTTACTACTCAACTCTGAAAGGTGCTAAACTTGTTGCTTGTGAATAGTTTGTAAAAATCTCCTTTGACCAGTCTCAAGTCCACCTCTGATTAAGTGCCAGAGTTACGCTTGTACTTGTCATATGAAAAGTTTCACAGTCCAACCTTACCTTTGTCGCACTCCATATGAACATGAAAGAGAAATCTACAAATGCTCTGTTTTTTCTTTAGATTCCAGGTATATACAATTCACCATTCAAGAAGGAGCCTGATCCGTGGGAGCTGCGGCTACAGAAGGCAAAGCCTTTACAGCACCGACCACCAAGAGTGAAGTATAACAAGCACACCACTAACCTTGATGAGTGGCTGGAATGCACAAGTGCCCGCTCTTTCCCCCGGGCTGTCTGCCTGCCACCCATTAACCGGAAGCTGTACCAGGTACTAATTATTCCTGGAAGAATTCTGTCATTTGTCACTTCTTTCTCCCCAACTTAAAAAAAATGTATATTACATGAAATTTACTATCTTAACTTTCAGTGGAATTAAGTACATTCACAGGGTTGTGGGCCCTTTACCAACATCTATCTATCTTTGATCCTGCATGACTATTTTACCTATTATGGTACCTTTAAGGTTGATCCATGTTATGGCATGTGCCAGGATTTCCTTTATGAAGGAATTCTATCATGTGTGTATACTGAAGTTTGTTTAGCTATTCAATAGGACAATCAAAAATGCCATTGTCAATAGGCTTTCTGGGTTCTTCTAGTCTTATGTTTGTCCTGCACTATTACAGCCATATCCCCAGCCCTTTGTGCTGTGGTTATTTCTTTTAAATAAACCTTGCATTTTCCTTTCTTCTTATTTGGATTTCAGGTGCACACAATTCACCACTCAGGAAGGAGCCTGGCACTGATCCTTCTATTCAGGCTTCCTGTCACAGGCTGAGTGACATGTATGTACTACCATGAACAAATTTTTGCCCAAACTGGTCTGGAATTTCAGTCCTCCCATTTCAGCCAACAGAGTAGCTAGGATTACAGGTGTGAGCCACCAGTCCTCTTCTTTAGAGAAATGTATATTCAAATCCTTTCCCTATTTTTAATTGGGTTGTTTGTTTTGGTTATTGAGTTTTAAGAGTTCCCAAATATATTCTAGATGCCAATACATTATCAAAGATATAGTTTATAAAAATTTCCTTTCATTTTCTGTGTGGCTAATTTATTCTGTTGATGCTGTCTTGATTTTTTCCCTCTATTTTTTTTCCTTCGTGTTTCCTTTAGTGGTGAACATTTTTTTATTGAATTTGAAGTTAATAAATAGATTGTTGCCTAGAATCTAAGCATTTGTATGGAAAAATATTGTTATAACATTACTTTCTATATAATCTGTTGTTGTTGGTAAAACGTTTATATGTTATCAAATATAATTGATTGATGATTACATCTTTTTACTTACCACTTTAAACATGACTTAGGTTTGAATAAGTTATGTGGTTTTGAGACAGAATTTAAAACACGTTAGATTAATAGCAAAGACAGGAAGTCTTTACTGTACTTGGCCTGAGCAGGATTAGCAAACAACTACTTGGAATCAAAGAGTGAATGTGGTAGGTTGGGTGATAATTACCTCAGCCTTTAACACTTTAAAGAAGAGCAATTCTATAATCTCCTTGGGTATTTAAGTTGTAGATAATATCTTCAACGAAGCAATGTCAATCTGGAATTGGCCACATATTAAACTTTCAGAACTTCTGATCACTAACTTTGGACACAGTCTTGCCCCTGTACATGTAAATAATACTCAGTGGCTACAAAGCCTAATGACTTAAAGCCAAATTCCCATGCTATTTACTTTAGTACCTGGGATGTGCACCAGTACCACTGTTCTTAGAAATTGGTTGAGATATGTGAACTTGTATACTTGCGCTGGCCTCAAACCATGTTCCCCTAATCTTGGCCTTCCAAATACCCAGGGTTACAGAGTTAGATCACTGAACCCAGGTGGTTACATTATTTTCTTTAAAAATAGGTTATACCATTCTGGCCATATCCCCTCCAGCATCTGTTGTTATTAGAGTTCTTGATTATAGCCATTCTAACTGGGGTGAGGTGGTATCTCAATGTTGTTTTGATTTACATTTCTTTTATGGCTAGGGAGGTTGAGCATTTCTTCATGTGTCTATTGGCCATCCTTCTTTCCTCTTCCGAGAAGTTTCTCTTTAAGTCTTTAGCCCACTTATTTATTGGGCAGTTGTTTCTTTGAGGATTTGTTGTTGGGGATTTAATTTTTTGAGTTCCAAGTATATTGTAGATATGAGACCCTTGTCTGTTGTATGGCTAGTAAAGATCTACTCCCAATCTGTGGGCTTTCTATTGATCTTGCTAGCTATGTCCTTTGCCATGCAGAAGCTCTGCAGTTTCATGCAAACCCATTTGTCCAACCTATTGCGTTTCTGGGTCTCTATTAAGAAAATTTCGGCCTGTGCCAAGGAGACCTAGGGTTTCTCCTGTTCCTTCCTGTAATGTTTTCAGAGTATCTGCTTTGACTCTGAGGTCTGTGATCCTACTGCATTGTTGGTGGGAGTGTAAACTTGTTCAACCACTTTGAAAGGCAGTATGGAAGTTCCTCAAAAGACTGCACATAGAACTCCCCTATGATCCAGCAATCCCACTTTTGGTCATTTACCCAAGTGATCACAAACAAGGCCATACCATAAACAATTACGTTTATTGCAGCATTATTTACCATAGCTAAGATATGGAACCAACCCAGATGCCCCTCAGTAGATGAATGTATCAAGAAAATGTGGTAAATATAGATTATATATTATGTGTAATATATATAATGGAATTCTGTGCCTCCATCAGACAGAATGACACTGCCTCATTTGTTAGGAAATAGAAAGACTTGGAAAAAATTATATTAAGTGAAGCAAGCCCGGCCCAAAGAAACATAGGTCCCATGGTTTCCCTTATTTGCAATAACTAGTACATGTGTAGGACAAGCAGAAAATGCCAAAAGCTATGTACATATGACCATATAAGATGATGTTAAGCAAAATGAGCCCCAAGATAGGGACACAAATATCTCTTTTCTTTCTTGCTATTGTTTCTAACGTATTTATAATGTACCATGTGAGTTTTTTGTTTCTTTGTATGTTCCTCCCCCAAGGTATAACCCCTGTTTTCACTGTAGTTGATGTCAGTGCCCTGCATCTTGTATATACACTTCTCTAATTCGGGGAGGGGAGGGGAAAAACAAAATGCTTAAAAGGGATACAGGTTGACCCATTATAACAATGCGATATACAAAACACTATGTTGAAAACAAACTTCACAGCTTTGGTGCCGGGGAGGTGGAGGGAAGGGATGGTAGGGGAAACAAAGGAGGAAGCAACAATACTCAATAGAAAATGTACTCATTACCTTTCTCATGTAACTGTAACCCCTCTATACAGCATTTTTACAATAAAAAATGTACAAAAATAGGTTATATCAATGTCCTAATGAAAATACTTTGTTAAATAGTTTTAAGTACAAATAAAAATAGGTTTCATATTTTGAATAAATGAAACATTATAAATTATGCACCTTACTATTTCCTTCTAATATAGTAGTTTCATCTGTTACTACACTTTTCTCAATACTTCAACAAAACTGATTTTAATTCTTACCCAGTTTTCCTTTGATACCATTGTTTCTCTCCATATGTGTGTGTGTATATATATGTGTGCACACAAATATATTTTATATGTAATACATAGGTGAAGAATATATTTCTATAGATAAAGATATTTTGATACTTATATGAGCATATATATATACAAATTATATATGCATATACATTTGCAAATGTATATGTATGGAAGAAAAATGTTTCATATATATGAAAACAAAAATATGCATGCATATAGAAAAATCTCTATATGTTTGTATAAAAAGAATGAGAAATGTGTATGTTTAAATAGGTAATTTACATGTATATGGAGGATTTTATAAAGATTAGGATTTGTTTGCTTGTTTGTTGTTTTAAAGATAAGATTTCAATATGTGATGCAATTTGCCTGCTTCAGCCTCTCATGTTGCTGAGATTACAGGCATGATTCACCATGCTTAGCTTAAGTAGAAAATATATAATATCTATGTATATCTATGTATATGTGTGTATGCGTATTTACATAAATATAAATAGATATACATATACACACATATATGCACATATACAGACATATAAAATAAAGGGTATGTAAATCTATTTTCTTATTTCCTTTCCTTTTGTTATGATTTATTTTTCTTTTCTTTTTTCCCTGTCTTCTTCCTTGTCACCTCAGGTATCCCCCCTTCCTGTGGGCTGTGCTCCATTCTGTCATTTTCTTTCTGCTTCCTTCTCTCTACTTTTCCCTATCATTTCTTTCACTTTATTCCTTCTTTTCTTTCTTTGCTTCCTTTATTCCTTTTTTTCTAGTTTTCCTTTTTCTTCTTTCCTCCTTTATTTCTTCTTTCCTTCCTTCCTTTATTGTTTTCCCAGAAAAAGATTGTTTTCTTTGGCTATATGATAGTTAATTCAAAAAGTGTGTGTATATATTATAATTGAAAACACTGAAAAACTATATATATCCATATATATACACTTTATATATACACTTAAGATTATGAACAAAGAACTTAACACTTCATCAAATGTGTTTTTAAATATATAGGGCAGTTGTATTAGGTTTAAAAATTAATCTTGTGATTAAGCTTTAAGATTTTACAAGATATCTATAAAATAACATGGATTATTTTTTAAAAATTACAGAATAAGTAGGGCACAGTGAGTCATGCCTACTATCCTACATCCTGGTGTTAGGAAGAATAAATTTGGAGACCTACCTAGGCAAAAATTTAATGTGACCCCATCTCAAGAAAAAAGTGGAGCATGGTGGGAAGTGCCTTATCATGGTTCATGGTGTGCCTTATCATGGTTCAGGCTGGCCTGGAAGAAAAGCAAAAATAATTAGCAAAAAGGGACAGTTTTGTGGCTCACGTGTAGAGTGTCTGCCAAACAGACACATATCAGTGAATTCAAAGCCCACAACTGCCCAGTATGTATGGTTGAGCTCTGCATAGTCCACACGTCAGGGACTAATAGTCAGTATATACAAGATAAGGGTTTATTTCCAAAATCTAGAATCATATGTCTGAGATCTAAGAGACAGGCTAACACATTTTTGGTGAAAGGAAACAGGACGGCAGATCTCGAGTTCGCTGTCACAGGAGGAACATTAGGCTCAAAGGCAAGAGATGCAAATGTGTGACCCAGTGCCTAAAAGACAAGGGAAGAGATAGAGATCTTCCAAGACCCAATAAATGATGGATTTATTCTCTTTCTATCCTGATGCTTTTGTTCTGATGTAACTACTAAATTCCTGAGCAAACCAGGTAGATCAGGAATTAGATATGTATGTAGATCTTGACACATCAACAATGGTTGGAAGTTTGGCCACTGAGAAGAGCAGTCATTACATCCCATGCATGTTGGTCTTCAGAGCCACAGCGTCAGTCCATTTGCTTATTCTTTGATGCTACCAGTATTCAAAACCTTTGCATTCTCGTCTTGAAAGCAATAATAATTATTGTAACAATAACATTTGTCACTTCTGAGTGTGCTGTGTACGATTATGTTCTGTGTACGATACTAAAACTTACATAAATAATTTTATGAGATACATACTATTCCGTTTTACATATGAGAACAGTAGTAAGAAAGTAACTTATGTCCCTAGGTTTACAACCAAATATTACTTCTTTTAAACCACAGAATTTGTCAAACAAAAATGAATTAAAAAGAAACAAAAATTGATTTCTTAATAGCAGGTGCAATCATGATACTGTCTCTTTAAAAAGTAAAGTTCCAATAAAAATCCATTAACTACTTTCAAATATAGCAATCCTCCTGTCCAGCTGTGAAAAGTACTAGATGATACTTATTTGCCATTTGTGTTATTTACGGTCCATGACTTTTATGGTAACTGGTTCCTATTATTGGTTTCTATTAATGTAAAACATAAGTGAACATAAATGAGGCGTGAATCATTTCTTTTTATTAGCCTCAGAGTCTCCACTCAGGGTTCACAGTAACTCCAGCTGTGTCTTGTTAGTGATAACCTATTTAAAGAGGAGAATTTTAAGAATAAGAAGTATGATTAGACATCCTCATCCATTTTATATTGCTTCTGTCTGGCACAACAGTGGTAGGAGAAGGCAAACAGTAAGTAATTAATGGCACAGCCAAATCTCAAGCTACCTGATTCACAGTGCACTTACTATGACACTAATTGGGCAAGCATTGGATTCTAGTAACTAGTCTAAGTAGCTACCACCTTAACAACAGGGGATGTCATGGGTCACTTCAAGGTGCACTGTGGATTTTCCGATTTTCCCCTACTATATATTTGTATCTTTACATAGTAGCACAGTCACTGAGCAATAGAATTTGGAATAATCAAAATAATGTCCAAACATAGCTTAAAATGACTGCTTTTCTATGTTTAGGAGACTCACCAATTAAATATAAGATGAGGTGTTCCTTTCAAAGCTTTATTAAAAAAATTAAAATCTCATACTCTCCAAATTGAATATATAGATGTGCTTTGGGGGAATTATACTAAGGATTGATATTCTTTTCATACTTGTTTACCTGTTCAAGAAGGAAAAGACACTGGACACTGTGTTGAAAATGGGAGAGGACAAGGGAAGGGGCGATATTGTTCAAAAAGAAATGTACTTATTACCTGAGTTATGTAAGTGTAAACCCTCTGTATATAACCTCTACAATAACAATAAGAAGCAAAGAAAAACAAAAAAAAATAAAAATTAAATGTACCAAAAAATAAGGGAGGGGGAGAAGAAAGAGAATCATTTTAATTTTAATAGAAGAAATGTTGTTGATTATGTGGTAAAAAACAGTAATTCATGCCAATTTCTTGGTTTTTTAAAATTAAAATTAAAATTTATTTATTTATTTATTTTTTGTTGGTCATGGGGCCTGAACTCTGGGCCTGGGTCCTGTCCCTCAGCTCTTCAGCTCAAGGCTAGAGCTCTACCACTTGAGCCACAGCATCACTTCTGGTTTTCTGAGTGGTTTATTAGAGATTAGAGTCTCACAGACTTCCCAGCCCGGGCTGGCTTTGAACTGCAATCCTCAGATCTCAGCCTCCTGAGTAGCTAGGCTTACATGTGTGAACCACCAGCGCCCAGCTGCCAATTTCTTTGGAAACTTCTTTTCAAAATCTAAAATGTATTTTTGCCAGTACTGGGATTTAAATCAAGGGAGTCCTATGCTTTCTCAGTTTGTTTGGTGGGCACTGGCCCACTTGATCCATGCTTCCAGCCATGCATTTTGCTTGTTATGTTGGAAATAAGAGTCTTTCAGACTTCTCAGCCTGGGCTGGCTTTGAAGCACAGTCTTCCAGATTTCAACCTCCTGAGTAACTAGAATTATAGGCATGGGCCATGGTCCAGGCACAAACCATAGTCACTGGGCCATATCTAAAGCATTCTGTTTTGCTTGTTTTTTTTTTCTGCCAGTCAGAGCTTGAACTTGGTACCTAGTGCTCACACTTGACACTTCAGTTTGTGGCTGAAACTCTACCACTTGAGCCATATCTCCAGATCCAGCTTTTGTTGTTGTTGTTGTTTTTATTAATTGAAGATTAGAGCCTCATAAATTTGCCTTCCCTGACTGTTCAAAACATGACCCTCAGATCTCAGCCCTCTGAGTGGCTAGGATTATAGAAGTGAGCCATACAGTCAGTGCCCAGGTAATATAACTTTTATGGTAATCAGTTTAACTGGAGATAACATTTCTGGAAAACAATTGATATACTTGCTATGTTCTTGTGTTTTCTGAGAGAGAAAAATACCAATTTTCTTAAAAATGGTTTAGTAGACTTTTTATGCTTTGTATATTTCCTAGCCATAGTTGTCAAAGACACATCAGAGTATCTTCCATGATGAAATGTGCACCTCATCTTGTCTTGTCAGGGGCCCTTCCGAGATATAAACGAGGTATTAGAACAACGCTACAAGCCTTTGGAGCCCACATTGCGAGTGGCAGAACCAATTAACCAGTTAAACTTAACGAGAGAAGAGTTCAAAAGACAAGAACAGTTGCTAAATGTAAATGACAACATGTAAGTTCTTAGCTTAAAAAAATAGCTGTACTGCATATGATGCTTTATATTTTCTCATATTTTCTATTTCCTATTTAATATTTTCTAATATTATATTAAATAGTATTGTTAAATATTGTCATAATTCTGTTAATATTAATTGTGCAAATAATGATTCTATCAGCTTACATCAATCATATCAGTATGTTGATTGATATTTTATTAAATAATATTAACATATGTTTAATATTTCCTAACTTATACTTTTTATTTCCTATTTAATATTTATAATATTCCTATTTTTATTGTTGATATCACAGAGAATCCTTCATCTGTGAGAAAAAGGTGAAGTCACCTGAACTATTCAAAGACAAACATTTTACAGCATGCAATGTAATGAGATCAATGTTGAAAACAAAATATACATACACCACTCAGAAAAAAAAATGATGCCCCTCCCAACTGTCTATATGTACAGTTCTGAAGAAGAATTGGGAATGAATGAAACTATGAAGCAGGTAGATGACAAGGGTGCAGCTGTGAAGATAATTTTTAGTTACCTAATGAAAGCATATTTATGGTGCTTCTAGAAGAGCTAATAAAACAAAAATCATTTTTCTGGAATTCCATTTTAATACAGTAATATAATGCATTATGGTTTTCTTCAATCTGACACTTTGAATGAGGTTGGTTATGATGGAGGAAGATGGCTGGAATAGACAGGGGATGATCTAATAGTATAAGTAACATCATTTTATTAACATTAATGAGTTGTGTTCACATGCATACATCTTTCTCCAAGGTATTTAGTTTCTCTTAAGGTACCTTTTCATGAATAGAGGCCTTTGCAGTTTATTTGTAGGTCATTTAAAGTCTAGAATGGCCTTCTATCAATAAAGGCATTATTGTTATCATCCTGTAGTTTAAGCCATGAAATTGTCATTACAATGTATCTTAATACTATAGTATTTTATGTATTAAATAATAGTTATATTGTATTATAATAAATAATAAATACAAAGTAATAATTTCAATATAATACAAATTATCACTGTAAATTCTTATAAAATAGTTTACCTTATAAAATTGCTACCCATAATAGGTACTAATTATTATATATGCTCATAATAATAATTATAAAAATACATGAAAATCTGCTTTGTTATACAAAGAAAGTAGAACCAGACAGGCAGCAGTGGCTCACACCTGTAATCCTAGCTACTCAGGAGTCTGAGATCTGAGGATCGCGGTTCAAAGCCAGCCCGGGCAGGAAACACTGTAAGACTATCTTCAGTAAACCACTAGGAAACCAGAAGTGGGGTAGAGTGCTCGCCTTGAGCTGAAGAACTGAGGGATAGTGCCCAGGCCCAGAGTTCAAGCCCCATGACTGACCAAAAAAAAGAAAGAAAAAGAAAAAGAAAGAAAGACAGAAAGAAAAAAAGAAAGAAAATAGAACCACCTGTTACCGTTTCTAATCATTTGGGTCATTTTATCACCCAGAACAGTTAGTATATGCTTTATTAAAATTAAATATTTCTGAAGTCTTAATTTTTTTGCACACAGATTGATACCCAACATGAAATTGACAAGTATCTCAAGTAATTTTATAAGGTCTTTCATTTTATAGATGTTACTTGATATGAAAATAATTAAATATAGTGTTTAACAGATTTTAGAATTAATCAATATATGATGAATAAGACAGTTAAACATTTTTAAAATTGATCAGGTTTCATTGTACTTATAAACTGATTTGTTGAACTGAAAACCATTTGTACAACTGAAGATATTAAATAAGTAAAAACATTTTTTCCAATCAGTTTGATGAGGCAGATTTATTACTGCAGAAATTATAGATAATTAATGCTGCTCTAGTCAAGCAAAATATACAATTTAGTGATAAACATTTGAGGTGTTTTATGACTCAGAATTATCTATCTACTTTCAACAATGCAACAGCTTATGAATTTGCTAGATTTACTGCTAAGGTGGTTGAGATTGTTGATTGTTTCATTGCTATTTCTTCAGAAATCATTGTATGTCAAGAGTACTGTGATAATCATCCTTAATGTTTTCCTTCATAAGCTTTTATAAAAGCACCAGCTAGCAATGTTACTCCCAAAGAAAGGTGCTCAACTTGCATATTCTACAGAGTACTGGTAAATACATCCATCCCTATGTGTTATTGAAACCCTTAATCTGAAATTTTCAGAAACTGAAAGTTTCTGAGATTATGAAAACAAACAGAAATACTAAAGAAATTGCCTAGAAATCCAAGATCAAACGATTGTTCTTTGCAATAGCCCAAGATAATTGTTAGGACAATTCTATTAGGACTGGGACACTGCTATTTTTTAGTTTCTGATGCTACTTTGGTTTTCTTATTCTAGAGTATATATAATTATATCTTGGGTAGCAAAAGAAATGTTATAAATTTAAGTTTTTGTGTATCTCTGCTGATAGTTCTGTGGTAGAAATTAGGGCAAGCATACACTCTTACCACAGAGGCAGAGAAACCTTCTTCCACACTGTTCATTACTTAAATGGAATTTAAAAAGCCACCAAAGAAGGGGTTTGAAAGAACAAATTCTAATGATAGACTGTGCCTCTTTAGAGTGCTCCAGTACTCTAAATAATCAAAGTGAAGAAGACCTCAGGCAGAGCTCTTCATAGCCACAGTACTCTAATTTCCTGGAAGCTTTCTCATTAGACTTATAAAAGGCAGATCCTCTAAGCTGACATAGCAAAGCACCTAGTTCTGGGGGCTTAAATAATAGATGCTTATTGTTGTACAGTTCTCGAGGCTGCCAATCTCAAGTCAAGGGTGGCAATGGTAGAGCTTATTTCTGGAAGGTGCAAGAATAAATCTGTTCATGCCTCTCCCCAGCCTCTGCCCCTTTGCTATAAGCTTTCACTTTTCTTAGCCTGTAGAACCATCATTCTGAACTCCACCTTCATCTTAATATGCTGTTCTCCATGTGTCCATGTCCTTTATTTTCCTATTTTTTTCCAAAGCTGAAGACCAAACTCAGGGCCTTGTACTTGCCAGACAAGTGCTTTTTCCACTGAGCCAGATTCCCAACTCCAACTTTCCTTTTCTTATAAAGAGTCTAGTTATATTGGATCAGGGCCTAACCTCATTCCATTTTGACCTCATCATTATTTGTTATATCTGCAGTGACTTTTCAAATAAGTTTATCCCCCAATGTACAAAGGGTGAAGGCTTCAACACATACACTTTGAAAGAACAGAATTCAACTCACAGGACTTAGTGTGTTCTGAGGAAAGTAGTAGGGATGACAAAACGCTTCTTTAATAATCACGAGTTGCGCTGGGTATTTTTGGCTCATGCCTATAATTCTAGGTACTCGAGAGACTAGCTTCTCAGTTTGAAAAGCCAACCCAGGTTAAAAAAAGTCTGTGAGATTCTTATTTCCAAAAAAAAACACTGAAAAGCCAAAAGTGGAAGTGTGGCTCAAGTGGTAGAGTATCAGCTTTGAATGAAAAAAAACCTGACCAAGAGTTTGAGACTCTGAGTTCAAGTCCAAGTATAAAATAAACAACAACAAAGACGAAAACAAGAAAAATAATAAAATCAAGAAAGAAACAGAAAGAAGAAAGAAGAAAGAAAGGAAGGAAAAGAAAATGAAAAATGTCACAGGCTATTATTTATACATGTGGTTTAAAATAAGCATACTATAGAAATAATAATAGTCTGCACAGAATATAGATTACAGAGGTTTATTTTTTCTGGAAGCCATTTTAAAGCTTTGCATTTTTGTTTTTGTTCTTAAACTTCATACCAGTTTCTCATGCTTTATTCATACATCTAAATTTTATGAAACTAGAAGATTTATTAATAAAAAATAATAGTCAAGTCTCTTTTAATTGGAAGCCGTCATCTAGATATTTTGAGAAATTAAAGAATGAGTATTGATTCAACAAATATGTTGAATATTTCTAGCCTCTAAGCATTTAACAGTACATGAAAGGAAGCCTCTGTTTTCCAGGAATTAATATAACTTAAAACCTAACCACATAAGCTAATGAACTTTTGAGTAAGAATTACCAAGTGCTTGTAAATTGGTCATTTGTTCAAACTATTGTCTAAATGTACAGTTGTTTGTTCTGGTCTCTGATGATCTAGGAAGATTTTTACTTTATTTTTATGGTGCTAGGGCTCAAACTCATTCATGACCTGAATGTGATTCACAGTGCCAGCCATCTGCCCAGGGTAGAGACTTGTGAGCTCCCTTCTTCTTCTCAGGCATCATCCATATCTGCCAGTCACCAAGTCCTGTTTATTCTGCCTTTCGAATATATTTCAAATTCAACTTCTCATCTTTCTACTCCGTAGGCACTTGCAGTTTCTTAGTTTAATTACCATAAATGCCTTCTATCTTATCTACCCAGTCTTACTAATGAGATAATCATGCTATTATTCGACAAAACTGATTTTCAATGACTTTTTGTCATCTTCAGGATAAATTTTAATTCCTTTTTTGCAAGATATACATACCCTTCCAGATTGAAGCTAGCTCTATTCCTCTAGTGAATCTTTTCTACATTCTAGAAGGATCTTGTTGGTGATCCATAGACCTAAGTCATTTTCCTTCTTTACATCCATATTCTTTCCATTTCTGAAAGAAAATTCCTGTTCCCTTTCCTTACTCAGTCTTCTCCAATCCATTGTAAGAATGAAAAAGAAATTCTCAGTATTTTTTTTTAAATTGAAACTACAGCACAAATTTGTAACAACTTTATACAGTGGTATCCAGATATGTTATCCAGAAGAAATTACCATCCACGTGATTACTTTTGTTTGTATTTACAATTATACATACACTTATATTCTTTTGCATAAACATAACAAAAGGCTATATATCTTTTACTCCATTCCAAGACCTCCAGAGGCTGAGTGAAAGCACAGATAGTACCAAAGCCTGTGCATACCATGTTCTTTCCTTGTTAAGCTAAGAATACCCACATTTCCATTTAAAGGAAATACTTTACAGCTTCTC